ACATGTAGTTGAGAAACAAGGCTCAGCCAATATAAAGTCAGACACCAAACAAGAGCGTGCCTGGCCTCAAGGGTGGATGAAAATGGTGACTATTTCTGAGATTTCTGAGTCTGCTTGTTGGCACCTGTGACAGCCAAAATTCATGCCCATTCCATCCCCAGAGACCCTGATTCAATTGCTCTGAGGTACAGGCCAGATATGGGATTCTGCCAACCTCTCCAGGTGATTCACATGTGACATCAAATCTGCTGAGAACTACAGTCTTACTGAAAGAAATAGTTAACTTTTTGAATACTTAGTGGGTGCCAGAGAGCACTGAGTTGTTTCCCTGCATTAACCGCTTTATGTATTTCTGACAGTGCTCCTATGAGATAAGCTTATCCCTATTTCACAAATAAAACTGAGGGCTTAAACCTTTAAGTAGGTAGAATTTGATTCCTAGTCCATTTAACTCCAAAGCCTATGTCTTTTGCACTCGGCAACCTTCTCAGAGAACCTGGAGTTTGACAAAATAAATACTTAAACTCTCCAGAAGCCTACATAAGAAAGCCTCTCATTTGCCTCCTTATCTGATCAGGCATCTTCCCTGTCTTCTATGTCACTTGTAGAAAAAGGATCAGAAACTATTTTATTAGGGACTTTGAACATTTCAAAGGGGATTCAGTTGCAGCATCCAATCGCCAGAGTCCCCAGGTGCCACTCTGGCAAAGGCAGTCCCTGTGCCAAACACTCCTGCTCTTACAAAGCACTCTTCAAGCAAGAATCTCAAAGCACAATGTAATTAATAAAATCACCCACATCCTGTCTAGATGAGTAGCATTTTATATGTACAAATTCTCTGTGCCCCCGGGCCCTCTGCAAGAACATGAATGTTTCCAATTTTGAAGAATGAGCAATAGAATAATTGAAAGGAGCTGTATATTGGGCAGCTCCAAAGACCTCAAAGGCATTTATAGTGACCTATATGAGAAAACATGGTGACCACAAAGTGTGTCATAATGGCTTATCAACCGTACTGTGCTAATGACTGGTTCAAAGATAGAAAAGAGGGTAAAAATAAAACATTCGGTTCTTACAAGTCAAATACCTCTGGGACTGATATTATGCTCTGTTTGGTCAACTTTCCAAAGTCTCTAGAAGCAGTGAAGAGGTGACACTAGCCGATGATCCAGTTACTTGGGGTAATCAAGGCATGGGGGACAGACAGGGCCAATTAAGTAGTGAAGCAGTCCAGTGATAGATGAGACATTATAGGCAAGTGCAAAGATAATGCCATTGGGAAAAGCAATTTAAGTCATTTGTGCACTTCCAGGCCAGGAAATCTTCTAGTCTGGCGGGGGAACATTTAGGAATCATCAGGCCCAGCCTGATGAAGTCATCCGTTCACTGTACAGCTAATGACCAACAAACGAGCCCAACACACAAGGAGACAGGCCATGTGGAATACATTTTGGTGGCTGGGATGGGTACCTGTGCCTTCAATTCAATCACCTTTATGACAAGTCTTGTCACAGCCTTTTTTTCCTTCCATCCACCTGTGTTCTTATTCCTACACACTGTCTTTCAGCCTGTGGGTGGACTTTTTTTTTAAATGAAGGCAAATATTTTCTTCCCCGGTTTCTAGTTTTGTACTTCAGATATGCCATTCCTTGTACACATAAAGGTTTCCCAAGGAGGCCTCAGCATGTTTCAAACCACTTTTCTAAAGGCTAGATCTATGTGATGGAATTTACACAGATGGTCCTGCACCTCTTCAAAGCCTTTATGTTTATGCTGCAAATCCAGAATTGGAGGTGGTATAGATTGTTATTTTTTAAAGGAGGAGGGGAGAGAAAGAAAAGGACCTAAGCTATAAAGTAACTACACTTGCAACTACCTGCTTCTTTAAAACCGTCTTTCCTTCACCACAATGCAATGGTTGTCAACAGGCGCCATGTTGATAAATCCAGAGAACTTTCTTCCATCTCCTTTATCTTGTCCTTCTCTGAGTGTCGATTTTTCCTTCCTTTTCCTCTTCCCAACCATTAAACGTTGGATTCTTCAGTCCCTCTAGACTTACTCTCTGAACTTTCTAAAGCACATTTCTGTATTTCTGGCCTCATTGCTTCCCACTCAACCACACATGTCTCCATTCTGAACCACTCTGTTCTTCAGACCACAGCACATTATGCTTGTTTCCTCGACCTAGCACAATCTCCTCTAATTATTTTTCTTCTTAATTCTTCCTCATCTGTCATATTTTAGTCCATTCAACATTTATTCACTTCTTCATATGTGGTCCAGTTTCCCAACTGTGAACTCTCATAATACCATGTCAAATGTTATTTGTGTAATTATTAGATTAAAGTGTACTTTAGTTACTAGACTGTAAGATTCTTTATATATAATTTCTTTTACAATTTTTGTCAGTATATGTCTGCAGTACATAATGTTTACATTCCTTGTGCAAAATTGGTGCATGTATACAACACATGTTAATTCCTTTTTTTATTTCCTGTCCCTCCCCTCTATCACCCCTCCGTGTCTACCTCTTGATCTCCTTCCCAATGAAAAACTAGTTATCTCCTTGCTTCCTATTATGTTTTATTTTTCTATTTATTTATAATCTGGGTTTCTCATAAAAAAGGAAAAGCACTAAGTTTAAGTGTCTGATTTATTTCACTTGAAATTATGTTCTTGAGATGCATTCATTTTCCTACAAATGACTCAAGTTTATCTTTCTTGATGGCAGAGAAGTGCTCCATTGTATGTAAATACCACATTTTCTTTTTCCATTCATCTATTGATGGATATATAGGCTGCTTCCCAGTTTTATCATTATGAATTATGCTGCTATAAATATGGGTATGTGTGTACACTGTAATGTGATGTCCTTGACTCTTTTGGAAAGATATCTATAAGGGGAATAGGTAGGTCAAATAAAATTTCTAGCTTTAGTTTTTTGAGAAATCTCCATTCTGATTTCCATAGTGGTTGTGCTATTTTACATTCCCACCAACAATGTACAAGGTTCCTTTCCCCCACAGCCTTTCCAGTGTTTATTATTTAATTTCTGCATGGTGAACACTCTTTCTGGGATAAGATGGAATCTCAGTGTTGTTTTAATTTGCATTTCTCTAAGGTCCACAATGTTGAGCATTTTTTCATGTATTTGTTAGTCATTTTTACTTATCTGTAACGTGTTTATTCATCCACTTACCCATGTTTTTGATTGAATTTTTTATTTTGGAGAATCTAATTTTTTTAGTTCTATATATAACCTAGATATTAGTCCTCCACGTCCTCCAAGGAACAGTTGGCAAAATTTTTTTCTCTAGTATAGGGTGACTTTCCACTCTATTGGTGGTTTTTCTAGTTGTTTGTTTGTTTGCAGTAAAGAAGCTTCTCACTTTGCTATGACCCCATTTGTTGATTCTCTGTACCATTTCCTGTGTAACTAGGGTTCTGTTCTGAAAAAAAAAAAAAGACTCTAATAATCCCAGTGAAGATGTGCTATCACTGAACCAATAATCAGCAGGATGCAGTATCCCAACTGGCCAGGCCTGGACCTCATGCTATTCTCTATAGCAAAGAGGGCCACATGGTTCTCCGAAGGGAAGATACGGAACAGAAGAAACCCACTGCTCAACACTTTGCCAAGGCACAACTGGGGCCTTTTTAAAGAAGGAACTAGAAGCCACAGTTGACATATTTACTGAAATTTTTCCTTTTTTCTATCTGAAGAGTTATAACAACTATGACTCATGTCCATTCTATTTCTATTTCTAGAGCAGGCTCTCTATCCAGTTTGAATGAATACCTGCCCAGTCCCAAGGAAGATCCACTATGGAGAACCAGTACTAGTATAGTAGTGCATTCCCAATAAACAACATCCCTGAGTCAAACACAAAACTTGGGTTGACTTGTAGGGAACTTAAATCTTCAAGCTTACTCATTTTCACTGAGGAAACACCATCTAAATCTGGCTAGTTTATTCAGCTGTCCACTTGGAGTCAAGCTTGGAGCTGGCGGGTGTCATAAGAACTTTTTCTGTTCTTTAATTCCCTTTAATATCTCATGTGTGACTATTGGGCTGACGTGCCAGATACCTTGATCTGGACCCACATTAATTTCCCCTCTGTTTTAATCCAACTCTCTCTCTCTCTCTCTCTCTCTCTCTCTCTCTCTCTCTCTCTTTCTCTCTCTCTCATCTCTATCTCTATCTCTATCTCTATATGTATGTGTGTGTGTGTCTGTGTGTGTGTGTGTGTGTGTGTGTGTGTGTGCTGTCTTTTTGAGGCTGGGTCTCCTATGCAGTTCAGGCTGGCCTTGAGCTCACTTTGTAGCCCAGACTGGTCTCAAACTTGCAAACCTCCTGCTTCAGCCTCCTGAGTGCTGGGATTACAAGTATGCACCACCATGCCTGGCCCAACTCTGAATTTTTATGACTGAAAAAAACAGAGACCCCATCTTCCATTCCCTGTCTACTGTCACTCCACCACAAAACAGTCCTAGTATCAGCTAGGATAATCTTAGCCCAGGAATATGCTACTTCTTCAAATTCAGCTTGGGCGAAGTGTCTTTTGATTAGAGATATAGATGGGGGTCAATTTAAGGAATCAGATCATTTTGACTAAAAAGCATGTATCAACAGCTGGTGTGATATATGTGTGTGTGTATGCATATGTATTTCTTAACACACTCTCTTCTCTCAAACTAATTGTTTAAAGCACTTATCACAGATTATCTATCTGTGATAAGTACCTCCCCTGCCTCCAAGCGCCCCAATAGCCCAGCTCAGCTAACTTTAGTTTCTTGTAGTACCTACTAGCACTCCTGCCCCATCCCATCTTCCAGGAATAAGAGACCCGTGCCCGAGGAGATATATACTGGCCCTATTTCAACCCCTTCCCAGCTACTAATAAAAGCTTATAGAAAGATTTAGAAATGCTTGTCAAGTGAAATTCACCTTTGATTCTGTCACCCCAATGGAACTGGATTTCACACCTGTCTCATTTCAGGATTGCAGAGAATACAGCAGCTTTCAAAAAACATAAAATACTTCCGAGACAGACTGAAGAAAATGGGATTCATTATCTATGGCAACGATCACTCTCCCATTGTACCCATCCTCCTTTACCACCCTTGTAAAGTAGCGTAAGTATTCGGAGATTCTCAGAATCATACCTAACTCCCAAGCAGCCAACAGAGATGCCTTTGATACAGTCTACCTTTCCTAAGCAGGGATTAGAGCATGCATTTGAGGGGGTATGTGGGTCCAGAAGCCACATGTCTTAGAAAAAAAGAACCTGACTCCAAGGCCCACTTCTCTCTGACACCATTTCTGAGCTCAGGAAATGTGGCAAAATCACTTACGACAACTGTAAATTAAAGGTGGCCCTGATCCTCCTCTGGCTGAACACCTTTCTCAAAAAGAACTCTTGAAAATCATCTCTCCCAAAATTACTGTTCAAACAAGAAGAGTTAGAACTTTTTCCCATTGACTTTTGTGGTTATCCCCAAAAGAAGCAGCCTCATTTTATGTGCAGGGGAAGTTGAGGCTGAGGATGACTGAACAGCTTTCCCACAGTCATGTAAACCAAATGATAGTAAAAAAAAAAAAATCAAAGAGGCAACCGCCCCACAAACCTAGGATCACTCCAAAGCTCATTCTCTTAACACTAAATTTCAATGCCATTGGCATAAGCCTATTTTGTCCTGTTTTCCATTAATTGCAACTCTGAAATTGAACATTAGCAACAATTGTATAGATGGCTCAGTGTGGTGGCACATGCATGTAATCCAAGCACTCTTGGGAGGCTGAGGGAGAAGGATTGCTATGTTTGAGGCCAGTGTGGACTATATAGTTAGTTCAAAGCCAGTCTAAACTATATAGAGAGACCCTGTCTCAAGAAAACAAAACAAAACAAAAATAATAAAATTGTATAGAGGAAAAAAAATTACTTTCTCTTGCTATAGCACAATTTTATAGAGGAACAACTCTCCAGCCCATGAGAGACTCTGTTATCACCTCTGTTATTAGAAGGAAATTAACTAAATCTCTTTCCAAATGTAAAATGTTTATTAATTTCTTTGACCCAGGATACTGTGTAAAGTAATATTCAAAATAATATTTCTCAAATTCTAGAGATCCTAACTTCTCTCTAATATAAACAGCCCCATTTCCTTTGACTCTATAACAGTCTGAGCCAAATGGTAATGTTTGTAATACAGAAGAAAAGTTCCAATAAACGAGGTTTTGGAGTCTAGAGGTTGCGAATTCATGGAGTAAGACTGAGTAAGACTGAGATACAAGTTACTAAAAAACTGAGTTTTGAAATATCCTCCTGTGACGTTGCACCACAGCAAAATAAGAAGCTATAAAACACATAATACATGAGTTCTTAGCATGTCAACACCACTCCACGTGGCCCTAAAGATGCTCCCAGATGGAGAATCCCAGAAAATAGAGTGCTATGGAGATGGCACATACAATATCACTCTACACCAAAGAGAAAGGAAGTGATTTCCAAGTAGCAGATGATACAAATTCCTCTCCCATCTGATTTTGGAAGGCACAAAAGAACACCCATATTTATTGTGGCTGGGGAGACAATATATTTGCAAAGGAAGATTTCAAATTCAGCTCAAGTCTACCTAGTATGTTAACATTAGCTCAAACAAGGCCCCCAAAATAAATGCATTCAGGCGGCCAGTGGACATTACTAGAGCAGAGGAGGAAGAAATGTGCGGGGTAGTGCTGCTTTGATGGTGGAAATCAGAACTAGAAACTCAAAGGAAAATGAAATGATCCAATGAAGAGCGTGTGATGAGTAAAAACAAGTGCATCTTTTTTTAATTATTATTTTTAACAGCTATAGATGATTATGAAAATTGTACATATTAATGGGCTACCATGAGATGTTTCAATATCTGCATGTTTGTGTAATGTCTAAATCAGGCTAACCATATCTATTTCCATAAACAGCTATGATTTCCTTAAAACATTGAAAATTCTTTCTTCCAGTCTCTTGAGACGTACATAATATAATAGTTATCTACAGTCACTACATCATGCCATAGCATGCCAGAACTCTTGATATATTTCAATTCAAAGATTCACTAACACTATGTGTATCATATAAAAGTTACGTTCTATGGTGTAATGAGAAAAATGCCCAAAACCCAAAATTAAAAGAGGAAAGGTTTGTTTCAGCTCACAGTTTTTAGAGGTTTCAGTGCATGGAGGCTAGTGGCAAGGCGGGGTGGCACATGGCAGAGGGGCATTGCAAAGAAGAAACAGACCATGGCAGGCAGAAGGCAATAAAGTAGCAAACAAGCAAAGGTGGAGCCCTCTTTCCCCCTCACATTCCATTCAGTCCCTGGGCAATCAACACCCAGGGTAGGCCTTCTCATTATCCACACCCACAACTATTCCAGACCTAGCAGTGGACTAATTTAGTAATCACAATCCCTTAGTCCCAGCATTGCACACCTAATCCTAGTATCACACACTAGATCCAGCCACCTCTGAAAAGCCCCACCACTGACTGCATGAGGCTTTAGGGGAACATCTAGACACGTGTCATAATAGATGCTAACAATGATGAATTCTGATTGCATGCTATATAAGGCTGTTTAACCCTGATGACCACCCACTGCAGTTGAGATGTTTATCCCTACTTTATAAATGAGGATGGTAAGACTTACAAGGGTCAAACTACTTTCTAAGGTTCACATATGCTGTAGGAGCAGTGACCAGAATTCAAAGCCATTCTCCTCATCTATGCCTCAGCTGTTTTAAACACACAACATAGCCTTTCAAGCTTCAGTCCACACAGGAGAAATGCTCATCTCATTAAAACTACCCATTAAATTTAACTCTCTTGCATGTCATCTTTGGTGATTCAAAACATCAATTACTATGACAGAAAAATTTCTAACTGAATTGGCTAAGCAAACAAAAAACAGGTGAGTTAGAAAAGGTAATAACATCTATCCCTGGCAGAAGTTTCCAGCAAGAGCTGACTCCACTGTCTGATTTTGTATCCTTAAAACAGTACAGAAGCACTTCTTTTACTCACACACATGAAAATCTTTGATATTACTTAGAAGTTGTGTTTCTCTACATTTTTGCCTGTGTAGAATGAAAAGCCCAGTATCTTTTTCAACATAGTCTTGTTACAACACTACCACTGGAATCATCTTGTAAAAGTCCAGTAAAAGGTGACTGTATCCATAAAATATGCACTTAAATAACTAAGAATGGCCAGGTATGAGGGTACATATCTGCAAGTCCAGTACTTGAAGATCAGAGGCAGGAAGATCCCTGGGAATTCAAGGCCAGCCTAGGCTGCATAGTGAGCTCAAGGTCAGCCTGGATTACATAGTGAGACCCTGTATCAACCCTCCCTGAAGAAAAAGTAAAAATGTATTGTATTTAGTGTATAGTAACAGAGTTTATAATTTCCTCCAGTGATCCTTATCAGGCACATGGAAGATACAGTGATACTACATGTACTTCTAGAATAATGTTCATAATCATCTCACTTTGTTTAATTTCTTCCAGCCTATGCCAGCTTTAATTTGCTTTAGGGAGTACAAACCTGGATACATATTACATAAAATGTTCAGAGCAATCATATACATTAGCTTAAGGCTGCTAGCAGCAGTAGTATAAATTTTCAAAAGTGGTCCAGAGTGACCCAGATTAACCTACACAGTTATATATTTTGTGCTACATTCTTTGGCAAAACTCACTTCCTTTAGTACAAAGGGACATGCAGCCAGTGAAAGCCATCTGCTGGAAGCCCTAAACACTGGCCTGAGATCATGGGTCAGGTGGTTTGTACTTCAGCAATAAAAGCACTTGACTTGTTTCTCAGACAATTATGAGCTCTCATCCTGCGCAGTGTTGTGGGCAGCCTTCCATAGGGTGATCAAGAAGGAGAAAGAACAGCGTCTGTTTTCCAGTTTTCTCAGCTAGAAAGCTTTGTCGCCGGTAGCGTTCCCAGTTGAAATCAAAGGGCAAATCTTGCCTTGGTCCCAGCCAGGGGTCAGCAGGCTGTGTTGTCAGTAGGTTTTACCATCTCCACAGTGTCACCTGATCAGCTGCAATCTGTGTGAGGCGATCATCGGAGGCAGTGCACTAGACGGCAAGACCGATGAATGGATGGGCAGGCTTACTCGCCACGTTGCTCCAAGAATTCTTCCTGAATTCTTCCTGAATTCTTCCTGAGTTACGACTGGAAGGCTTCTGTGGCACTGTCAGCTGCCATCCTAAACTAATACACCAGCAACCTCCTAATGCTAAGAACAGATCTAAAGCATTTACTTCACTTGTGGGCACAGCCACTCTGTAATTAAGGTTTCCTGCAGAGAGCAACAGAGCCCAAAGGGGGAAAAGACTCACTTGGGGGTGTGTGCCTTTTTATCTGACCTTGGCTCACAGCACAAGCAATTTACAGACTTGGAGCTGAACATTCTAGAATGGTTTCTGAAATTAGCTTTGGAAAAGAAGAAAGCTAGAAGGATAAAGGCAGGAATCATAGCTTACAAAGGTTTTTCTCTGCATCAAAGAGCTCTGCAGTCATCTGACTTACATCCCACCAGCTGTGTGTGCCCCTTGAGATTCTCTGCAGATGCACAGTTCTTTCTCTGCCCGATTCCCCTTGAACCCAGTCAGTGGGCTTTTACCCTTGTGTATACCTTGGTATGTTCCTTCACACATTAAAAAAGGGAAGAGATTCTTAGTATTTCTTGTATTTCATATAAAATATAAATCTTCGTCCTAAAGTGACAATATTAGTTTAGGACCCTTAGATTGTACTCTTCAAATTATAGTGACTAAGTTTATATGTCTATAGTACCTTATTGGTATGAGGTTTTAAAAACATACAGATTACATTTAACATATACATATATCAATGCTTTGTTATGTAACTGTATTCTATTAGCCGGGTTATTTTTATCCCTAGGGACCCTGCAGATGAAAGATTTTGTATCAGTGCAGACTTATTAAAACAGAATCACTTTCACCTGCATCTCCTGCTCAATGTCAAAAACGTGGTTCCCACAATCATCTCATAATCATCTCAAGCCCATAATACAACTTTATGGAGCACATTTCTTTGTCAACTCTGTTATTCTGGTGAATTTAATTATCCCTTGCTTATCATAAAAGAAGAAAAAGTCAATTATTCATATTCTTGTGCAAGGAGCAGGATATTCTATCTTCTGTCAGTTAATTTTTTTCCCCTCTTCCTCAGGGCTTTTGCAAGGCATATGTTAGAGAAGAAAATTGGAGTGGTGGTTGTTGGATTTCCAGCCACTCCACTTGCAGAAGGTCGAGCTCGGTTCTGTTTATCATCATCACATACTCAGCAGACGCTAGACACAGTGAGTATCCCACAGGCCAACAGGACCTCTCATTTAGGTCCCTTGGATTCTGAGTAAGAGCTTTCAAAGAGCCAGCTTGGGGTTCTTTGGGTTTCTCAGGTGGTTAAGGAAAACAACACTAATGACAAGTAAAACTTACTGCTAAAACCTAGGATGTGTCAACAATACCAAACAATGTAATCCAGTGGACAGAGGAAAAATTCAGTTTAGTGGAACTTGAGTCTGTTCAGGATTTTGGTTTCCTAGGAGCTTGACAGAGTAGCCAAACATGCTATTCACTTGTTCTGAAATACAAAAGTGGATAGTACATGTTATTTTAGCATCAATTGCCTGTGTCCTGGTATTTTTCATAGCCATGAAATCTTTCTTAATAAAGTAGGACCCAATGAAGCAATCTTGGGACTGTAACTTATCAGTCTAAGAGATAGTTACTGTAGTTTAGGGAACCGAAGGGTCCTAAGCCAAAGCCAGAAATGAGTGAGAGTGAACAAGTCGGGGACAGACTCCTGAGTCGAGCACAGGATCACAAGTGGGAGCTCCAGGGACTTAGGTGGAGTCAGGACTGTCAGAAAGATGTGGACTAGTGTAGTGTCATGCACAGTTTCAAGGAGGAGGAACAAAATGCCACCCAAAATTAGAGTAAAGGAGAGATATGAAGAAACTATTGGGTTGACAATTAGTGAAAGCTCAATGTTCTTTAAAGTGGGCAGTTTTAGGGTCATGTAGGGATAGACAAGGATAAAAAGAATGAGAGCAAGAAAGGGAAGGAGATGAGAGGAAGACAGAGAAGAAAGTCTATCTCTCTTACCTATGCAGCTTCAAGACCAGATAATAGTGTGTGGTGGGTACCAATAAAAATATGTTGAGTGACACATTGACAGCTGGGCTACCTGGAAGTCTTAAGATGACAGTGAACTCTCCCGTGGTTCTTTATACACTTGCTGTGTTTTCCAAAATGAGTCTATATTTCTAGCACATTAATGTTCAGAAAGTGCTTCTTTTAAATAGAGTGAACTGGTGACAAGAAAGAGTAGGCAAGCCTTCTCAGAAGTGTGCCTTTCTGTGGCAGTGCACAAAAAGTAAGAGAAAGCAAAGGAAAGGAAAGGAAGGAAGGAAGGAAGGAAGGAAGGAAGGAAGAGAAAAGAGAAGAAAAGAAAAGAAAAGAAAAGAAAATGCCCGTGAGGTCAGGAAAATTAGGTTGAGAAGAGCCTTTGGAAATAGGAAAACACTTTGCCCGTGTTTATGCATCAAGGAAGGAGACAGTGAAGAGGGGTCCTTATGGGTGTAGAAGAGGACAGGACATGGGCAGGGAGCGAGTCCCTGGAGCTGACAGGAGCAGCGGAGAAGAATATGCAGTTTTTGTGGTTTACACGGACTGAGGTGCTCAATCATACTCTGTTCTGTGAATAGGGACCAGTGATCCTCCTCACAGGTTCTTCATTGCTCTGGAATATGCAGTTGAAAAAGCACTGAGAGTTGGTCTAGGCAGACGCCTTTCAGCTTCTGAAATCATGCATTTGTCTCGATGTTTAAAAATTGAGCGGCGCTTTAACTGAGAAAGAGAAATTTGAACAGCTGGGTCATTAAAGTAGCAACTAACTATAAATGCTCACAGGATATGAGGAAAGTGCAGTGAAAGACATTGTTTGAGACAATTGTAACAGACATAAGCTGGTTTACCATCTCCCTTTCTTGACTGAAGGCTGTTCCTCCACCAAGCACAGCTCTAGCTTCTCCTTTGGCCCCCAGAAAAAAGTCTAAGTACATAGCCCACCAGTGAACCATTGTCACCTTCAGACAGCATCCAACCCAGAACTGCTCTCTGCTTCCTTAAAATCTCCAGCCCAACCAAATGCAATAAGACTCCCCTCCCACATCTTGTCACTAAGATGCCCATGGCTCTAGGGTCTTCCAAGCTGAACAAGCCTAACTTCTGGGTGTATAGCTGTGTTCTGGGCATCAGGAGTTTTTATGTAAACTATTTATAAATGGTTTGTACCTTATATAGGTGCATTTTATAACAGGCATAAACATAAAAGTTAAGATGACAATAAATAAGTTAAGCATGATGAGAAGAAAAAGAAAACTATGACTCTAGTCCCAGCACTCTAGGAGGCTGAGATCCAAAAATGACAAATTCAAGTCCAATCTTAGAAATTGGGCAAGACTTTGTCTCTAAATTTAAAAATGAAAAACGTTAGAGGTGTAACTCAGTGTAAAGACCCTAGATTCAATCCTTATTGCTGAGAAAAAAATAAATACAAATTCTCCTAGGATTTCACATATTTCCCCCCGGTGCTCAAGTACTCCTTTTTGGAAACCACTGCAATATTCCATTTCCCACTTTCAGCAAAAATCAACAGAAACTCGTCCAAGGGGCTGGGGATTTAGCTCAGTGGTATAAGTGCCTGCTTGGCAGGTACAAGGTCATGAGTTTGACTCCTGATTCCACCAAAAAAAAAAAAAAAAAAAAGAAAGAAAGAAAGAAAGAAACTCCTCCAAGCAGATAGCATATAAGGCTCAACTTCTATTACTTCCTCTTAGTACACAGATCTCATGTAGAAAGTTTTTTTAAAAAAAAAGAAGAAGAAAAAAAAAAGATTTCCAATGCTCATAATCCTACCATCAAGAAATAAATTACTCTTAGCACATTGGTAGATATTTTAATGGATATCAGTTTGAAAGGCTTTCTACCCAAGAACGTCTATAAAACTCATTAACCATTCATATTAATGTCATCAGCTCTCACCTTGCCTTCTTCAGAGCATTGGATCCTAATACTATCCTTCTCTTTATTTGACCAGTTAAGAAAAACAGGCTCAAAGATTTGACCAGTTAAGAAAAACAGGCTCAATAGCATAGGGTCAGTATCAATACTGGTGGATGTACTAAAAGTAAACATTATATCTTTTTAAACTTTCTGGATCTCTTGTTTCATTGGTAAATTTAAGGATACATTTACTGCTTAAAGTAAAAGAATTGAAACAGATACAGTTTTGGTCTCTTGTGAGTTTAAATCCTGTTATTACATGGAATGCATAGATGCTTATTTTAAAATGGGAGGAGGACAAAGCATGGGACAGTTAAGAATGATGCTAATTAACCCTGTGATGATCCATTTTGTTCTTGGCTAGACTGGTTTACTGATCATGAATGCATAACCTCAAAAATATTCCACAGCCTTATGTTTCTTCCACAAGGTTACATGTAAGTCACTAAATTTTAAAATAAATTCTTAAAGGGCTTAGATAGGCCAGATGTTTTTATTCCTCTCTTCACATTCCCAAAATAAAATGAACATGCGTAGTGTGAGTTAAACCATTAAATAAAATTAATTAGCATCTCACATTCTTCCAGCCTTGTCAATCACAACCTAATGACATAGATCTAGCTTCTTTTCTTTAAAATCAAAGATGCTGGCAAAATAAGGCTGTGGGTCCTTGGGAAGTTCACCTGTGCTTTCTAAAGCACAGCCACTTGGGGGTTTAAAGATAACTGATGGAAGGCAATCTCCTTACAGGTTTTGGAAGCCATTAGTGAATTAGGTGATCTCCTGGCTTTGAAATATTCCCGGCAAAGGAAGACATAACACCCTGGACTCTAGGATGAAATTGGCTTTTAACGTGATGAATAAGTTTCCCCATCCTGAATGAAACATGAAGACTTTGCCAGAGAGACCTCCTGCCTTGCCTCAGAAGGAATATAGATGGAATTCTCCCCCATTCTAGGGACAACCTGGTTTCCAAACCAGCTTGATTGAACAGAGAGATATGTTTTTTTATGTTTTCAACTTGCAACTTTAGAAACAAAATTACACTTCTAGATTGTCTCTGCTCCCAAGTATCTGCTACAAATGCATACACACCTCCCACACACATACATACACATATTTCTTAAAATGTTTTTGATGGCGATGAGCCTGTTTTAGCTGCTACTGTGCAACCTCGCTGATCCAGACGTCTACAGGGGTTCTAGCCAAAGGTGAGGATTTTGATTGTTACAGGAATCACACTGTGTTTACTCATTACATACCAATAGTGGACATGGGTGAGGGTGTTGGAAGGAAGCTGACTTCCTTGTCACACCTTTAGAAGTACCAGCTACAGTTCCTCTGCATCACAGGAAGTTCCAGGCAGGAGGGTAAAGAAATGTTTCTTCTACCATTTGCCATGTTTGGACTTTTTCCAAGGATAAGTGTCAAAAGACACAGTAAATGTTTCTAGGGAAAAAGAAGAACAGGCCAGCAGTGAGTAGAGAAGAAAACTTTTCTTTTCCTCTTGCTTTTATCCGGCAGTTTTACAGCTGAGCCTTTGAGATTTGGAAAATCCAAGCTCTTGTTTCATAAAGAAGGAGGCAGAGAGAAAGCACGGGCCAATTTCAGGCCTCTACTAAAACTGTAAAATTATAACTCAAACGTTACTGATGCCATGCAGGGTGAGTGCTTGGTAGGCACAGCTTTCATGACTTTAAGGAATGAGTTGCCATTTGCCAACTGAATTTTAAGTAAATGATGAAGTTCAGTTGCCTTTAGAACCCACTCCCAAGGGTACACTTGAAGAATGTATTGATTCAAGAAGGACATTTATAAACAATTCTCTCTGTCTCTTTCAAGGCTGCTGAGCCTATTCAGTCACATTAAATAATACTGTCACTTTGGGATATATTTTCAAATTTGGACAAAACATACTTTTGGGTAACTTTAATTTATATGCACAGCTCTCTTTTCTCTCTCTCTCTCTCTCTCTCTCTCTCTCTCTCTCTCTCTCTCTCTCTGTCACATACACACACACCACCACCACCACCACCACCATGAACACAAACCTCTGAAAAATTAGGCCTTTGCTAATTAGATCTAGTTGGTATGGAAAAAGCCAGTGGAAACCCTTATCTTTAACAAGCTCCCAGCTGGTGCCCAGATTTGGAAACTCTAAAGAGCAGTGGTGACCTTTTAGCCAAGCTTCTGTAACAGTTCGAATGAGTTACAGAACATTCCACTCCATCAAATGACACTGTAAACAAATCACTTCAAGAGAGGTTTGGCTTTGTGTGACACAGATGGGCCCGAGCTTTCATGCTGTGCACTGAGATAGAAACTCAACCCGCACGCCAGTGTCCACAGAACAACACGCCCTAGTGCTCAGGGCTTGCCCAAGGACAGAGGTGATCAGCTCAGAAAGCTTTTCATAAATCACAACCCTTTGTGGGTACAGTCAGTCTATAGGTGAATCTCAGTGATAAAATTCCCCAGGAGCAATTAAAAATTAAAGCAATACAGTTAGCACAGGAGGGAAAATAATGAGTTCTTAGGCTATCAACTCTCAACGTATGCAGCCTTCCTGAGGCAAAGAAAGCAAATGCCATATAAATGCGCCGAGAAAGGAAGGCGTGTAAGTGTTTTCTCTTTAACACATGCACTTATATGAAATGGTTACTGGCTGATTGTTAAAAATGCATTGCTCTGTAGTGAAAACAGAAGGTAAAGGGAGCAGCAGCGAGACATAGGAGCCTTCCTCACAACAGAGCAAGCAACAAACACCTCCTATTTTTTCTGAATTTGATTGTGATCACACACATGCACACACGCGTGCACACACACACACACACACACACACACACCTCTACCCTTTGGATTTTAAGCAACTAGATAGGCAAGTAAGTGTCTTCCCGAGTAGGAATTTCTACCCTTCCACTTTCATGCAGGAACTTGATTGAATCTAATTCATCATGGGAAACAAATCACTTATCCACCTGCCTTGTGAGGCAAGGAGGAGGTTAGATCCACAATCCTTTGGGAAATGTTTTCATTCCTGCACACCAGAGATCTATTTCTGAGAGTGTCTGCATTGATGATACCCAGTGTGTGTGAGCAGCTATAATCCAAGTGGAATTTCTCCCAGGTACATTAAAAGAGACCCTGCTTCAGAAGAGTATATGTCATATAGAATGAGCTTGGGTGATAGGGTAATTGTGATGAGAATGTTTTATTTTTACAATTAAAAGTCCTGCACTTCTGGGTTTCTAGGACTATGATTTCAACTCAGTAGGGAAACAGCCTTAATATCATAGCCTAGTCTTTTGGTAAAGAGTTTTTATACCAGAGGTATAGATATATTATATATCCCTAACCTGCGTATTCTCTCTCTCTCTCTCTCTCTCTCTCTCTCTCTCTCTCTCTCTCTCTCACACACACACACACACACACACACACACATTTTCTTTACAGAAGCATATAGAGATTACAAATAATCTGATTGGATGAGAGAATGTTGTAAGATATTCTAGAAAGCAGGGGAAAAGATAAAGGTTCTAATTGGCATTTGTAAGGATGATACATCTTGAATAAGAAGAAAATGGCATAAATGACTTATTCCTAGTCATCATTTGGAATGAAAGTGTCATGGATGTTTAGCTGTATTGCTTTTCAGTATGTTTGGATTTGACTGAGACTACACACTTCAGAATTTACTAGAAACCTTGTTAACATACAGATCTCTGGGCTCCATTCAATCAAACCACAGCGGTGGTGAGCAAACTACAGTTTAACAAGATTTCCCAGGTGATTCTGCTACATTCCAGAATTTGAGAATCATTACTGGAGGCCTTGGTAGATCCACTGACTCTTGATTTTCTGCTGACATTTTAGGGTGCTAATACTGGTAAAGTGAAGTGCATTTATTTCATGGTCATCCTTCCCTCTTCAGTGGGATAGTTCCTTCCCAGTTTTTTCAACTTCTGTTTTTGCAAGAATGGACTGACACGATGTTGAAGAATACTCTGCAATACATTTGACCAAAATTCCTTCTGAAGTTCTCTTTTGTATCAATCTTTATGAGATGTCTCTTTTGCTTTGTATCACTTTGTGCCTTTCAATATGATGCCTTTCTTCCTTTCCTACTTTTAGAAAAAAAAATTCAATCTCTGATTATTTATTTCAGTAATAGCTCCTCTGTAAGGTGATATTCTTAACAATTCTTCAGACATGCAATATTGCCTTGTACTTTTCTTCAGAAATAGCAAATATATAAATGACTTACTCTGGTTAAAAAAAATCTAACTTCAGATGATGAAACCTAAATTCAAATATACACTGTGATTTATAGCAATAATAATTTTAATAAAAACTGATAACATCATCTCATGAATTCTTTGAATTTTTCCTTGTGTGAAACAGTAAGAACAATGTATTGGAAGTCTATTCTCTCAGAATGCTCTTCTCAACTATGTAGTGTGTAAGAAACTAAGATTATACTGTACCTTAGTATTTCTCGGCAATTATTTTGGAACATAATCTTACAGTGTTGTTATGTGAAGTGTGTGATGTGTGAGTATGTGTAGGTGATGTGTACGCTTCACTGAAACATTTGACATGCAAATTTTCCTTTATTCTCCCCATGGCATGTTCACTTCTTTAAGAAACAAATCACCCAAACTGACGATATAAAATAGTCATATAGAATTTTGTGTTGATTTAAGTTAGATTACCCTAAAAAAAAGAGACTTGCATTTCGAAATTTCACTTGAGAAAATTAGTAGGATTGGCTGAGGCTGGCTTACCCTTTTATGAGAACCAGTTATGTACATTTCTTTCCTCTTTATTCAGTGATGTCACAGTGGTGCCTTAAAATTGGCCACAGTAGGAGTATTTACACCATACAAATTGTCCAACTCTACAAATCAGGGATCTAGACATGTAACTGTTAAAAATTTACCAGCGCACCATTGAAGCTACACACAGTGGTACAATACCTAGATTTTGTCAGTTCCCTGAAGAACAGTACAACCGTGTGGGTCCTCAGATTATCTCATGTTGAGGACCATCACCAACCAGACGCTGGATGCAAGCTCCTAGATAGAGCCAGACAGCCCTGGTCAGCTGTAAGACAATTCCTGATAAGGGACTCAGCTGTGATCAGTTACTTACGAATTTATTTATAAAATGTCCACTTAAAAATTTATAATGGAAAAATTGAAAAATACAGTAAAACAGAGAGGATAATACAATGAACTCGCATGGACCTACCATCCAGTTTCAAAACAGTATCAGTTCATGGCCAGGCTTTTCACTGATTAGCATACCCTCTTCACTCCCTCTCCCACTAGACAACTTTAAAGTGAACCCCAGAAGTAATCTCATTTTGTGAGTAAATATTTCACTGAGTTCTAGGAGGTAGGAACGTCTCAATTTGTTCCTCCTCTCAACCTCATTAAAATATGTCTTCAGAAAGACACCTTTATTTTCTCTATGTTGCTGTCTGTATGTGAATTCCCTGGATCAAAACTAGGATTTATTTCCAAAGTATGTGGTGTGTTGAAAGATAAAAATGCAATCATTTTTAGACATAAACCATGTGCCAGACACTGCATGAAAAACTCTGACATATGCTATCTTCTTGGTACCACTGTAGAAACTAAATAATGCATTTCTTGGAAGGAAGAGTATTCCAGTTGTAAAAGGATTAGCAGAGTATAAAGAGGACTTCTAACACTCTGACAGTACATTGTTCTTTGCTGGAATGCTTATCCTCTTTCTCATCAAATCAAAACCTTTCTTAAAAGGTTATTTCAGCTAAACTTTATATACCAGCAGGAGTAATTCGATCAAGAACAAGAGAACAAGTCAAACCAGTTTCCATGTTTGGAAAAGGTTGCTGCCTGTTAGCGTTTAAAGTAGGACTTGTTATTCTAATTCTTCTTGCATCCCTTCATCCAAAGGAGAGGCTGAAATGTGACATTTGCATGTCGACTGCTCTGAGAACTTATCACAGACAGGAATCAATAAAATATCCAACAACCGAAGGTTAGAAGAGAACAAGCAGCAAAAGAGGGATTTTTTTTTCCTTCTGCATGAAACAGTGTTCCCTTTTATTCAGGCCAGATGCTAATTTTTATATCAAAAATATTGATTGAAGGGACTAGTGATTTTGGCTCTCACTCAAGTTTATTCAGGATCTTTCTTAATTAGGTTTGGGTCCGCTGCAGTGCCCATGGCCAAGGGTAGGTCTGGCTCTAATCACCACATCATGCTCTCTACTTCATCCCGGGCCAAGGACTAAGGCAAGGAAATTGCAGCTTCTTTGTTTCTCCAGTCCACAAGTTTGTTTTTTTCCAGATTTGAAGCAGGCATGGAGCAAATGTGTAAGGAAGACCAAAAGAAATGTAATGGTTTCACTATGATGAGATCAATCTACCCTACGACTTGATGGTGATCCCCAGCATGAATAAAGCTCTGTGTGTGAAAAATGAATGGGTAGCAATGTGAGGTCATGGAAAAAGATCTTGGCATCTTTTAAATGAAAACTTTTCAACAGGCTAATGCAGTCAATCAGTCTATGAGATTTTTAAGGAGTAAAATAATCTCTTTTGCAACAATACATGATTTCCCCATAGCGTGTCTATTTTGTAAATAATTGTGGTTGTCATGAAAGTATTTTTATAGCGTCTACACCAATTTCCTATAATTTATACAAATCCTTTAAAAGCTTCATATACAAAGAACTTCAATAAATCATAGTCACAAATTAGACACCTATAACAAAATGGATTTTCCATTATATATTAAATAGTAGGTTGTTAAAATATATATATATGATTCAGTTCGCCTAAAACATTTCCAGAAAATAGCTGTGAAGAGTTTTTAGCTCTGAAGTATTTCTCAATTAAAACTTCAAAGTATGAATTGTAAGAGATTTTATTAACAAGACAACCCTAAATGGAACCTAATAAAAGTTAAAGATTTCCTACATAGATGGTCCTGAAATGCCTATATATAATCAATGTTATAGCAGATTACATAAAAAAGTTAAAAATGTTTTATTAAAGTGAGATCATGCCTAAAAAAATGAAAATGCTTTTGAAAATTACATTGACTTGTTATTATACATTTATTATTTATAAAACCAAGCAGAAAAAATTGATAGTTACTCCCATTACTCATCATACCCCTTCAGTGTGAATAAGAATAAAAGACCATGGATTACCAGATATTTAAAGAAAAGAGAAAAGCCAAAATGAGTTGTCAAGATGTAAGAAAAAAAGAAAAGAAAGAGAGAAAAATTTCATTAGGAGAAACAGGTAAGTCATGGAAAAGAGAACTTTTGGAATGTTCTAATTATGAAAGTTGTTGTAGGTCAATCTGTTTGTGTTATGTGTAGATACCACATCCACAAAACAAGAACAGGCTCATACAAAGACACCCAGAGTTCACAAAAACATAAAATATATAAATTAAAACATTTGGTGAAAATAAATAAATAGAGAACAAATAAACATATTTTTCAATCCCACATATAAAGCAAAGAACAAAAAATTTAAGTGAGAGAAAATTTTAAAGGTATAGATGGTCCACACAGAAAGACCTATATATATCCATTTAATAAAAAGTTGACAAAGAATGAAAAATTTTTAAGACAGAAGAAAAATCAAAGAAATAATAACTGAACCATTTCCTTGGAACTGAAACAAAACAAAAGATGAAGATGGGCTGATAAGGACCAAGATAATGAATAAAAAAGATTTTCACCTAAACATGTCCTAAGGAAATTTTACACCAAGGATGAAGAGCAGAACCTAAAAGTTCCCAGCTCAACAAAAAACAATCTTCCTTTAAAAGGTAAAAGTAACTAATTTTAAGTGAAGAGTATTATAAATAACATGTTCTCCAGAAAAAGCATACTAATCTTCTCACCTATTAATGCTAGATAAAATGTTTAATTACCTCACTCTGCACCTTTGGTAAACATAATCATTTGTATAATGTTTGACAGTCTTATAGAGAAAGGTTCTCCTTAATATCAGATGGCCATTTACTAATAACAAAATTTTCATGTGTATATTGACTGCTTGTTTTTGAGTTTTTGCATGTTTCTGAATTGAGACTGCTGCCACATTTTCAATTTCAAGTGCCTTGTGAGCAAAACAGTGCAGCTATGTGTGAGAATTCAAATGGAAAACCATTTTCAATCTAACATTCCACATCTAGCAAAAGCCATTTAAGCAAGGACAGCAAGATTAGAATTTTTATGGGAATTTTATATCTTCAATACCCTATCTTTAAATAACTTCTTGACAAATCCTCAAATGAAAGTTTCTTTAAAAACAGAAGATGTAGATAGTATCCAAGAAAGAGTGGATGTTTTCTAGGAATGCAATGAAAGTAAGTCCCAAGATGATCATTTATTACTCAAGCAGATTAAACTGTTGTGATAAAGATGATGGATTAGCTTTTTTTGCTCCCAACAGAACTGTAAATTCCTATTTCTGATTGGCAAGCATTCTCTCCCACATGGTGTTTCAAGGATCCTCTTCTCGGCTGTGTCCTCACATTGTCAAGGGACAAGGACTCAACCTGTGGAAAAAGGAAAGTGAGCAGAAGAGGCCATCTTGTCATCCTTCTCTGATGACTGACTTAACTCCGTCTTGTGGGATATATTTGATAGGCTGACGTAGGGAGTATCCAGAGATGGGCAGGAATAACACACTGCGGATAACACACTCTGAGTCCTTAATTCCTAGAGATCAAGTCCTCCCCTCTCAACACCGCTCCCCGACCTGCTTCATTCACTTGCCTAAGCAGATGAAATCTTACATGTTCCATCAGGGACACCAGAGGCATAACACACACCAGGCTGTTCAGCAGCTGGACCTGTTACTTCTCATCCCATCTCTCCTCACTGTCTATGGGTCCATTCGCCTAGCTCCTCAAAAATTATATGTTTGTTTCTGCTCACAGTGTACAAGGCTGTAAAATGTGAGTACTGTTGGCTAAGTACCTTTGTAAAGGCTGGGCTAGATGCAAGGTGGGGGTGCTTCCCATCTGCTGTTCCAGCCTCAAGAACTTTGGGCATGCTAAGCCTGGCCCATATGCTCCCCAGGATATGAAGAGAGAGGTGACAGGCTTCTCACCTCTGAGATCTTCACTCTGCTTCTCATGTTGTCACATCTCACTTCACGACCCTCCTGGCTTTCATTAGTAATGGGGAAAGCCAGCCACCTGGGGATTGGTGGAGGTTTGTTTGGGATTGGCTCCTTTAAATTTTCACTTTGTGTCACAGGGATAATAGCCTGGAGTCAACGCTTCAGTGAAATGCTAGAAAAGGGAAAATATGGTCCACTTTATGGCTTGTTTACCCATCTGCATCTTCCCTTATGCACGTTCTTGGAATCCCTCCTCGCCTGGGTTATGACCTTTGAGCGTTTTGCAGCTTGTTCAAAGCTACTCTTTAGTGACAGTTTAAGGACTAGAAGAGGGAGCCACTAAAAATATCAGCATGCACAGCAATTCATTCTGCCGCCATCCCATGAACTGCCTTCTTCCGTGTTCACGTCCAGCCTTCAGCATGAGTCTATGTGAGCGATATGAAAATAGAGTTTATATATGGCAGGGCCTCACCTTAAAGAAGTAAGAATGTGGTGGTATGCTTTTAGAAAATTCTTGTTCATCATGATCCCATGGGCATGTTCAGGTCTTTTGGATTTATAATTCCAAAGTTGGTGATGAAACAGATGTCCTATTAAAGGGAAAAACTTGAGAGGGAAGCAAGTTGAACACATATTTAGATACAAAAGAGCTAATACATGTTTTAAAAGATAACTTCTGGTTATTATCATGCTTTTGCATTATATTCATTAGGCATCCCAAAGATGAAAATTTTCTTTTAATATCATATAATGTATTACTTATCAAATGTGTTAATGTATAATGTATTACTTACCAAATTTTAACATATGAGGAACATTGAAAGTATACCTGTATATTAAATTTGCAAATTCCACCTCTGAAAATTTACCATAAGTATAAAGAGCTTCAGTTTATAACAAAATTATTATTTAAATAATCAGAAACTCTCTCCTTACAAATAAGAAGTACTAGATAAATGGGAAAGTCTCTTAAATATAGATCTGGGCCTGCACAAAAGTTAGGAAAGTCTTCAGATTGAAAAATGATGGAAAATCTAAAATCTTAAACTAACGTAGCTGAGCTGAAACTCTGGAGACTTCTGGGACCTTTGTGGCCTAACTAATTAAAGGATTTAATGCCTACATCAGGAACAAAGATAGGAGAAATGCTAGTGAGAGTTTAGAATAGAAAAAGATGATAAATCAAGTTGTTCTCTCTAGGTTCTAGATAAAGAAAAAAATGATGTATTCTGAGAACTCATGGTCTGGTCTCATGAGTTTGTTATACATATACAGCCAGAATTTTTATGTCAATAAATTAGCATTTCATACGTTCTTTGCCAGTAGAAACTATTATGTGCCTGGGAGAGGCATCAGAAAATCTCTCAAAGTGGGCCAAATTCTTATCCTCATATCCCCAGTGAGTTTCCACAGAAAATGTACCCTCTGTTCACAATTTCAAAATTCATGGAGAATCCCCTATAAGCAAGATCAGTAGAAACAAATCAAAACAATGACAACATACATTATAAAAAACAACATACATTATAAAAAACATCATGTTTAATTAATTAAAGATATAAAGAATGATTAGAGTATATATATGAACAGATGGGAATAGGCTTGAAAAAATAAATCTTTAGTTCAAGGTCAGACTGAAGTATACAGCAAGATCCTGAATCAAAAAGAGAGGAAATGTTAAAATTTAATTGAAAACAAAATCTCCAAGGATGGGTGAAACAACATGTTAAATACAAATTAAGAAAAATATTAAGGAATTGCAAGAAAGAAAATCATTCAGAAGAAAGCCCAGGGATATAAAATATGAAAGAGTTTAAGAATGAATTGAAGCTATCACAAAGATTTAGCAACAAGGATCAGAATATTATTTGTAAAACAAGTGTTGGAAATAACATAATGTCAACAAATGGATTTTACTTTTAATGTGCTTTTACTTAAGTTCAATTAAGGCAAATGATAACTAAAAATGCACCTTTGACATTGAAAATTTAAATATTTTAACAAACATAATTAAATATTTAAATACTTGAAAGATATACTTGCATAAACACACAGGGAAAGATCTAAAACACTATACCATATTTTCTCTGAACAAGTGAGGGGTGTGTGTGTGTGTGTGTGTGTGTGTGTGTTTGTGTGTAATCTTCCATGATTAAAAAACAAAATTAATTAATTTTGAGGAAAAATACCACTATACTAGAACAATTCAGAACATTACTCTCAGCAGTTCTCTGTCGGTTCCTGACTGCATTGAAGTCTCCACTGGCTAGGTACTAAGCCCTGAAGAGACTACTTGAGGATGCTTACAGGTCTGTGGCTTTGCATTTAGAGAAAAATAGCAGCAATGTCCCTTGAGAGGCCTCCCAGTCACACAAAGTGTACCATAGGCCTCGGGTATGAAGGGTCATTGCATGTGGTCAGCATCTTTCTGTGCAGGTGGTGATGGAGCTGGGGCTCCTCTTGTGTTGTAGGATAAATTTGTAGACTTCCCAGTACCACCCTTGACCAAGCTCCTGGAGTACGTACTCTCTGGAGACACTGTTGATCATTCTGTATTCAGGGTGAGGAATCTGACCTCCTTGTGGACATCACTCACTCACCTAGGCTGGGCACCCCACTTCATTCATAATTGTGGTTCCCCAAGTTGACAGTCACTCATAAGGTACTAGCAAAAGTGAAATCTAGGAAAAAACAGTGATTTCAAGGGTAGATTCTGCTGTGGACTGTTAGTTTGGGGCTTTAAATCATAACATAGTATTGCAATAACAATTATGTATCCACAACCATAAATATTATCATAAACATTATGCTATCAGCACAACAACAATTCCAATATAATGGAAACCCCATCCATCACAGCCTGATGACACCTGCATTTGATTAAATGCCTGTAAGCCATTAAGCTCTTCCACAGGTAACAAACAGCCACAGTCAGAGCACTAAAGGGGCGATGAGAGTTTCTTTATCTTCCCTGTCGTGATCATCAGCCCTTCCCTAGTCATGGCATTTTCTCGGTTTTCTGCCAAGTATAACACAGCCCCTCCTTTTCTTCTAGCTAGAGCTAGATTCTAAGTTCTCCAGCATAGAAATCCTAAAGCAGCCCCTGAATATTTACAAACTAATTTGATTCTTACAGTAATATTTGAGTTGGTCTTGTTCCTCCAAAATTAAGGATGAAGAAATCAAGTAAGAGTGACAAGTAACAGTGGATTTCAATAACACAAATCACTGCATCACCAGATTTTGTGAATCTATCTGGCTCCTGCTCTCCTGAATTGCCTTCCTATACAAACATTTACTGAGTAATTAATATACCAAGCTTGGGAGTAGATATTGGGAAAGAAAGATATAAACCACTTTTCTTCCTATCTGCAAAATTCTCAGGTTCAGCAAAATGAACTCAGTGGCCTACTTAATGTAACAAGTGCTTGTTGAAAGTAAACTAGATTACAAACTACATTTAATAAAAGATCATGTCTCCACACCAATTTTATTTTCTCCACTCTGATGTCTGATTAGGGCCCACACTGTGCCTCTCAGCCCCCCTGGAGGTTACATAGAAGGAGACATAAAAGAAAAAAACAAAGAGAAAATAATTACAATGGTAGGTACATCCAATATATCAATCAATTTAAATATAAATGGCCTATACACAGTTAAAAGACAGAGATCATTAAAGTGGATGAAAAAATCAGAAAAGTGGTTAGTGTTAGAGCCAAGATATGGTCCCAAGATGGTCTGAATCTGTGCTAGAAGCTCTTTCCACTTTACCAAAGAAGCTGAGTATTTCTTTTATTTTAAGAGGACTCTGCCATCAATATGTGTGTGCATGTATATATACATGTATATATGTAGATCTATATATTTATATAGATATTTATAAATATCTATATATTTATATAGATCTACATATATATGTGTATACATATTCAAATATCTTGAGTCAAGCTACAGCTATAAAAACAATTTTTAAAAAATACAAAATAAAAGTCTGAAATAACCTCAATAGTGAGAATAGTTAAGGTGATTGTACTATTTTGGAATGTGTTAGGCTGCCAGTTCAAAAATAATAAATGATGTCTCAACAAATAGGGATTTCAATTTTTGTCTAAGAGAAGGTCAGACGCAGACCATTTCTGGCACAGATTCAGCTGATCTATGGTGCCACCAGGAGCCAAACGAGCTCTGTCGTTCACTCTTCTTCCCTCGGCATATGTCATCCTTTCTGTTGCCTCTTTACCAAGAGGAGGGTGTCATAGTTTAAGATTTTACATCATCATGCCAGGTATCAAAAAGGTAGAAAGGAGGTTGCAATAGTATGCTCCAATTTTTAGCAGGAAAGCAAATGCTTTCCCTGAAATTCTCTCAGAAGATAACTGCTTTCATCTTACTGACCAAAACTATATCCTGTGTTTGTAAAATAGGCTGGGAAGATGAGTATTTTGCTTTTTGAACTTATCCAATTGTAGGTGAAAGAGAAAAGAAGGCACATCAACCTCTTTATAGTGACTGCTCTGGTACAGTATATCCAAATGGCAGCAAAAAATATTCAGTGCTTTCCCTAGCACTGGTTTTGCTGTTTCTTCTTACGATTTTCCCTCAAAAATTTTTCATGGCAAAGTATCTATGTTAGTCAAACCCTCACTTACCTTCATCTAACATTTCTACCCTTCTATCCTAGCATAGAGTTGGATCTCTAAATTCTATCCTGGATTACTGTATTTATGTTTCCACAGATTATGACATATACTTCAAATGAAAAAAACTATAATTTAGGTGGATGTGTCATATAAATGATACATAAAATCCTTCTCGGTTTTGCAGCCAAGATATCTAAGTCATTTCTCCCCAGGATGACTTACAGCACTTGGTGTAGAGCAGTGGAGGTGGACCTTCGGCACACATGCCGCAGCGGGCTGTTCGTTACCGTTGAAAGCTCTGAAAGGTTTGCCATCACTCGTGTGAAGTATCAAGCCAGGAGCCAGAATGTTCTCAGGAGCAAATGATTAATAATTCAACCCCAGACTGACTTCTCGTTTTTTTTTAAAGACAACACAAAACAAACCAAAAAAAGAGGATAAAAGTGATACAGATTTTTTAAAGTAGGAAATTAACACTAGTTAATATATTGCATATTGTTGCCTTAAAAGTAGTTGTTCAGATTACAAGATTCAAGCATGAGAAAAATGATCAAACAATGAAAACACAAACTGTTCTTTTTGATGAATTTACTGAGATTAGTAGTGTAGTTATCGGTCTCCTGAACAATAAAAGTGTTCAGCTTCAATTGAGGTTGATCCACAGAGTCAATAATGTTACCAAGGACCGTGCTTTTATGCCATCTGTGGTATCAACTTCACCGTAAGGCTATATTACCGCATGGTCACAGGATGGCTGTCAGCAACTATAGAGCTAAATGTTTTCTTATAGGCATGAACATTTTCAAAAAGAAAGAAAGAACTGTCCTGCCCTTACCTCAGCCATTTAGTTTGTTGCAATCTTTCCCCTTGCTCTGACAGGATCCATGCTGGTCCTATGCTGAAAGCAATCACTGTGCCCCTAAGGACACAGTGATCCAGTGGGTGACAACCAGCCAATACCTCCCTGAGGATAGGAGTGAGATCAATTCCATAAAAAGAGCAAGATTCATGGCTACATAGCAGGAGAGTGGGCTGGGCTGTTGGGAAGGCACCCAATTTCCACCAGAATTCTGCATGGCTTCTTTACGATCTGTGAGCATAAACCAGATTTCCCCTCTGAAACCTAGGACTAGAAAGACCTGCTCGGCTCACACCTCCAGGACCTTGTAGCAGTTAAATAAGGCAACCCTGGTAGGGGAATTGTGCACACTGAATAGTCTGCGGCCACATAGTAAGTTTCTAGATGAGCTTCTGGTTCACAGCTAAGCATCTCCAGGTAGTGACCCATCCAGTTTCTCTTGGTCTTTCCCACACTTCTCTGCACCATCTAAATCCCAACTGCAGGCACCTACCTCCCTTTTCCTGAGGGTTTTCCCTGAGTACTGGCTGTCACTGCATAGTGGAAAGCAAGTCGCATGTAATTCTCTAGTACATGAGAATGAGTACTAGAGAATTACCATCCTTCTTCCCAGCACAGGAGCTCCAAGCCTGTGATGGAGGTCCAGAGAATCTTCCCCTACTCCCAGGGTGAGATAATTCTGGGCTGTGTCTTTCACAGACCCCAAATGGTACTGCACAGTGAAAGCTCCAGGTGCCCATAACCATAATTGGCTTATTTACAGTTTTAATCTTTCTCTGCTCCTGGTCTCATACCCAGCTGTACTTCCTGGAATCACCTCTCAAATAAACTCCTCACACTCATGTCCTGGAATCAGCTTCTGCAGGAATCCAAATGAAGAACACATCCCTGTAGCATCACATGGGCATGGCTATGCTTATTTGGCGTGAAAATTGTATGCCAGGCATTTTATTCTAGAATACATTCTATGATCCTTTTTAAGTTATTTCTGTGTGTTTTCATTTTCTGTGGGTAGCGTACTTTTGTTTCTAATTAGATCATTATGTTCCTGGGCTAACTGAGGGTCAAGCATGGCCTGCCTCCAGAGAAAGATGAAACACAAGCCGTGGTGGCCAGATGTATTGCTCCCAAAGTCCTGTCCTGAAGATAGATAATGCTATTAGCAAGTAGAGCCTACAATTAGTCCTTTTACCAGCAAAGTACACACTAGACTGTGATAAATTTGCATGTTGGAAGGCAAAAGAAAAAAAATACGTTCAAGATGCTTTTAATTAGGCACCATTTAAAAAAAAAGTTCCATTTTGCACTGGGCTCATTTTCTGTTGTAACCAAGCTATTAACCAAGCCATCCTGAGCTGGCCAATTCATTCAGGCTCACAAGAATTGATCGCCAAATGGTTATGTGACCGTTTGGAAAGAACGATTTTTGAAAGAATATTTTACTTTCTAGTAGTAAAGCACAAAAATATTATAGAGGGAATATCTAACTACACTTATTTTCTTATTTTACAATTGAAATCAAATTTGGTTTAAATCTGAACCCTGCCCCAGGGCCCTTGCATTTGCTGCTCACTCTCTCTGGAGCATGTTTTGCTGCATGGCTGCCTCTTTTTTCATCATTTGAGTGTCAGAAAGAGCTTATCTTTCTCCTGAGGAAAACTGCAGTCAAAATAGCCACTTGCCACATGTGGATGCTGAGCACTTATATAAAATGTAGGCTACATATATATAGAATGTGGACTAGATTTTGAAAAAAAGAACAAAGTAGTCTACTGATAAGTTTTTATGTTGATTATATTTTGCAGTCTTTTGTTGATATAGTAGGTTGAACATATATTAAATTAATTTGAGCTGTTCTTCACTTTTTGTGGTGTGACTAATAGAAAAATTTTAAACAGACATGTGGCTCCTGTTTGTGGCTGAGATGCTATTTCTGTGGCTCCATGCAGACCTAAATCATCTCCACTTTGCACTCTGTCTCTCCCTATCTCCATCTCTCTCTGTCTGTCTCCATCTCTCTCGGTCTCTCTGTCTCTTTATCTCTATCTCTTTCTGTATCTCTCTGTCTCTCTCTCTCTTTCTTCCTTCTCTGTCTCTGTCTCTCTCTGTCTCCCTCTCTCTCTGTCTCTCTCTCTCTCTCTCTGTCTCTCTCTCTCTCCCTTTCTGTCTCTCTCTGTCCCCCCATCCCTCTCTCTCAGGAATTACATAGTGAATCACCAGCTGTTTCCTTGTATGCTCTAAATGCCAGCGTCCTTGTCACCCAAGTTCTTCTGCACCAGTGTCTGGCACATAGTAGGGCTGAAAACATATTTTGTGAAATAAATAGATTAAAGAATGAAGGAGTAAGAGACAGAGAGCAAGCTACCCCACCCCACCAGAGAGCTCTCTAGGTTAAAGAGCTAGACTATGCCCCTCTGCAGGCAGAGGAGGGAGTTACACAAAAACAACAGCTTGCTCACGGGCCCTTACTGAGTCCTGTTTGATGGTTTTCTTTATGACATCACAATTAGAAATGTGTGACTCTCTCTTTAATCTGATCAGAACAACATACCCACCTAGTGCACATCTAGCTTACAGAGGATTTCCCGGTTATTAGGAAACTAATGATTCAGTAACTAAGGTGATTGACTGGGATCAAACAGACTCTCTCACTGACCTTCTGCATAGCCAACCATCATTACAACAATAAAGAAACTAGAAGAGCTGTGCGGGGCTAGAAGTCACCACTAATTGCTGGCCTCTGAGTCCTGTAACTGCCACTAAATGGCTAAGTGTGTTATGAAAGTGATATAATTAAACTTCACAGTTGACAACCCCATTAAGACGAATGAGAAAGTTCACACTCTGCTCACTACTATTATTTTTAGATTTGCCTGTCTGAAGACGCAAAGACTTTGTCCAGACCAAACCAAAACCTCCTTACACCTTGCCCTGAATTAGCTCTGTCCTATACTGGAAACCAATAGTCTGCAGCTGGCCAAGATAGTGCTTTGTAAATTACGTGATAAATTGTACTTTTCACCTTGTTATTCCAGAATAGACTTCTCTTTAGTCAAAGAACAGAAAAATACGTAGTTGCGAACTCATGTCCAGATTGTCCCCGTTCAAATTCTATCCTGGCCCATGATTCGTAGAAAGGTTTTTAAATGATTTTTTAAAAATTTCTTTCTGTTCCTGATTCCTGATTTTGGCTATTCCCATTATAAAATACTTTGGTTACAAAAAAGAAAAAAAGAAGCCTTGTTTTTATGTACATATTATTATGTCTTTCCTAAGACACAAATTATTTCAAAGGAGTAAATTTATCATGGGTATAAATATCAAAACCTCTCTGGAATTTTCTACCAGTCTTTGCCAAAAGCTGGGGATGTTTAGTCCAATACTTCGTTATTACTTTCTATAGATAAGAAACATTCAAATACTTGGAAATATCTAGCTTTTTGGTGTGTGAGAGAACAACACCATTTTAGCTCAGTCTACTATAACCAAGTACCTTAGACCAGGTAGTTTGTAACCTGAGATTAGGATGCCAGCGTGGTCTGGTTCTAGTGAGGGTCTTCTTCCAGGGTGCTATGTGCAAACTTTTGGTTGGCAGAAAAAAAAAAAAGAGCAAGGGTATTCTCTGGGGGATCCTATGAGAGCACTAGACCACTCCCTGAGGTCTCTCCCTTCACGGTCTAATTACCCCACAGCCTCCACGGTGAGGGAAAGTGAGCAGATGCCTGCCCTCACAGAGCTCTCTGAGGAAAAAACAAACAGAAGCCTGCTTTTCTTGTGTCAGCACATAGCTCACAGGTCCCTTGAGGGCAAGGGCCACTTTTCATCCTGTGGTGCAAAGGTTATCAGAGCTGTCTCTTCAAATAACACCCTACCAATGAATTTTATATCTATGTTCAAAACTCACTATGTATTTGCCTTCAGGACTCCGATTGCAATTTTCAGTGAACAAGTGAACTCTAACCCATTTTTCTGGGACACAAAGGACAAGAAACGGGCAGCATCTGTACTCAAAAGCTGCCAGGATGGTGCCTACATCTAGGCAGTCATTCACAAGCCCAGTCATTGCTGGTGCTTTCATTTCAGCAATTCTGCCTCTCCCAAGGGTGGCCCTGCTGTCCATCACCTCCTCCACACCACTGTCTCCACTCCTTACGTCCACCCATGTCTCCATGCCTGCTTTGACAACCCTCCCACTTCCCAGTTTTACTGAGCAGTACTGAAACTCAGTAAACATTAACCTCTCTTGCGAAGGGCATTTTGAATTAAGATTTGGAAATTATTCCAAGTAAATGAAGGTTTCCAAATGATTCCAAGTAAATGAAGCCCCAGGTTAACCTAGTATACTTAAATTTGAGTTGATCTCCCTAAATCCAAAAAGATCCTAATCCTAAATCCTAAATCCTAAATCCAAAATTCATATTAAAATGAATTCCCAAAAGACACTGTGACTGCTTTACCAACTTTCTGCATTTGATTCTTTCATTCTTTCCAAATCCATGTTAACTGTAAACATCCATGAACCCGTAAAAATGAACAAAGAATAAGTTAAAACTGTTGATGACAAATGTCATTTATGTAATCTTGTGTCATTTATGTAACCCTTTGAACAACACCAGCTGTTGGGTGATAGCATTGAAAGAAGCATCTATCCCTTGAAGTTGTTATTATCCTGGAGCAGAAGCCTAGGGACGGTATCGTCTCTATTGCAATTAGGCCTAGGTACATCCTAGAACTCGGACAGCCCCAAGACTAAATAACAAACCTCAACAACATGAGAAGCATCACTTCAAACCTCTAGGCCTCCTTCTAGAGAAAGTACCTCACTAAGGCAGCATGTCCCCAAGGGAGGGTGGGGGGATGGAGCTAGATAGGAAACTAGAGAAAAAGCACTGTTTTAATAACCCATCTGACATATTTTAATCATAAGCTCCATTCATCCAAGTCCAGCTTGTAACTTAAAAAATAAAGTAGTGCCAAGAAACACCAATAATTTGACCAGGAAAGGGAAAATAACATTTGAGGTCTATTTCCTCCTATTCTGGACTATGTTACCCAGGACAGCCCCCCTCCCCCAGGGAGAGGGAGGAGTTGGGAGCAAGCTTCATTAGCCATAATGATAATTACACGCACTTTCAAAGAGGCTTTTATCCCCAAGGCTTGAAGTGACCTATAAACATTAATTAATTTAAGCTCTGGGTAGCCCAGCACCACTATGCCTTTTGTAAAGTAGAACAAATAGAAGTGCACCGAAGTTAAGTGGCTTCACGGGGCTCATGCAGGCAGCTTGCAGCACCTTTGTCAGGGGATCAGACTCTGCCTTGTGACTACCCCTAATCCAGTCCCCGGCACAGGGGGCTGCCAGAGGTGGAGAAAGGAGAGATCCTGCAAAGTAGAGGAAAGCCAGGCAATGGCTACACTTCTGCCAAAATGATAGGAAAACACAGCAGATAAGATCACCCCCAATTTACAGGAGGTAACTACCCTATCTTTCCAAGTTTTCTTTAAGCAGGACTTCTCAAACTTAAGGGAACTGCTTATACCATAGATCTGGAATCAGCAGGGGGTGGTGAGGCCATGGTCCCCACAGCTAAGCAAGCTTTCCCCGACACCAGTGACAATTGGCTGTGCTATTTATTTTCCCCTTTATCCAGCCCTGCTCTGTTTAACTTTCTTCAGTACTCATGTGTTATTTTTTCACTGTCCTCTCTTTTTTAAGTTGCTAGATGTTATTTATAGGAGGAAGCACATGGGTCTTAACAGCCTGGTTACATGGGTTATATATTTGGAATTTGGAGGCAGAATTGCGAGCATATTGTGCTGCAAAGATCAGGTTGGAACCTGGCTCATCTGTCCTTTGTTGCCAGCGTGAAGAGACCAACAGACAACCCTGGGAGCAGGTCTGCCTCAGCTCTTCCTACAAAATGCACAAAGAGAATTCACTTCATGATACTTATTATTCAATGTAAGTATTTTTTTTAAGTTGAAGCTCTAAAAACTTATTTTTAAAAAATTAAGAGGAAGCACTAGAAATTAACAAATTTGCACTATTTGAATAAGGAAAAGAACATAGTTAAGACACAAATATGGATGCCTAAACCTTCTCCTAAAGAGTTTACAAGAATTGATTGTATTATGTGTGATGATATGAACAGCTACTTTGGAAAAAAAAGAGATATTATGGTTGCCATTGCTGATTTCCTATCATCATGTTGTAAAGTCCAGTAATTCTTTTATTCTTTGTTTAGATTGATTTTAGTTTGTTTGTATTATTTAATTTTAATACATATGAAGATATGGACAGCTATTTTGAAGAGAACAAGAGATATTATCATAGCCATTGTTGATTTTCTTACTGTCTGGTTTTGAAGGCCTGTAATGCTTTCATTCTTATGTTTTGATCAGTTTTATACTATTTTGTTTTGTTTGAATTCATTGTGTGTGAAGATATAGACAATTATTTCAAAGAGGAGAGACATTATGGTAGCCACTGTTGATCTCCTGTTGCCTTGATTTGAAATCCTGTGTCATTTGCATTGTTTTGTTCTGTTCTGTTTTGTTTTACCTTCTTTAAAATAAAAAAAGACACAAATATAGCATCATATCTAAGCAACTCTAAGCCACAGAGATGAGCAGAAAGGCATTTTTTATTTAATTATAAAGGAAATAGAACCATAAGATGAAACAAAACAGCGATAAAAAAATAGTAGAAAATTACAATAGTTACTATGTTGCATATTGTAACAGTCTTCTAAACAGTTGCTCAGATTACCTTTAGGCTTCCAAAGTCAATCAAACAATACAGTTCCTCTGAATCAGCTGGTTGCTCATGGTGGGAGTGAGGGATGGTCTTCTCTCCCAAGCCCACATACTGGCTGGTTCACAGGCAGGGGCTTAACTTCCACCCTGGTTCTCCTCATTCCTTGCTCCAGCTGGCTTGCAGGTGGGGCTTAGCTTCCTCAATCTGGCATTTAATCAATCATTCACTCCCCTCCCAACATGAGGATAAAGATCTGGGCATTTGGAAACATTTGGGTAATTAGCCCAGTTTTCCAGTTTTTCGTTATAAGAAAATTAATTCAGTGACATACTGGTGGCAGGGTTATCTTTAAAACAGGGTGTTAGGTTTCTCAGAGATGTGGAGTTGTACAGGCTCTGGAAAAGTTTATGGTTATGTTTGTAATCACATTCAATGAGGTAAGGAGCTCTAGGAAGGCCTGAGTGAGGAGTAGGGAGGTTCCATGCAGGGCACAGTCATCAGGCCACGAGAGGAAAAGGATCATGGTGAGGGTGGCCTGAGAGATGTGACCTGATCCAAGACAGGTAGTCTGAGAGGCAACGGATAGCCCAACAAAAGAAAACAGACAAGGAAAGGTATGAAAGTGAGAAATACATGCAAATTGTAGGAAATGAGTTCCTATTGTTAGGACAAAGAAAAACAGAAAGGTGAGAGATATTTTCATTTGTAGGTGTAGTCATAGCAAAGTGTCACTTAGGGCTCACAGCAATCCTCCTGCATGGCCACATTGCTGTCCTTGATCGGATAGGTATCACTGAGAGCCTGTGCTAAGCTCTAAGCAGGTCTGGGCTGATGAAACAGGACTAATGTGATCCCTGAGCTAACAGAACTTACACTATAGGTGCATCAGAAAAAAAAAAAAAAAGACAAAAAAATAATGAACACATACATATAAAAGCAAAATGAATGAAAAAGATATGGACTTATGTTAAAGAAGAGAGGCCTCTTACACACTGAGTAGGGGTGATGAGTCCTGACAAGATGGCATTTCAGTTAATTTCAGAAGGACACAAAGCAGCTAGACTTCCGGAAAATGGGAAGCATAGGACTGATGCAGACAGAATAGCTCATGCAAAGGCCCTGAGACAGAAAGTAATGGGTATGTTCCAGAAACAGTGAGCCTAGAGCTCAGGAAGCCCAGAGGAGAAACATCCCAGATGAGATATGGAAATCCTCAGAAACCAAAGAGATTGTTGTAGAGCCTTAAAGATCATAGTGAAGATAGTGTGCTTTATTCTAAGTAAAATGCACACCAAGGATGGTTTTGGCTGGAAGTGAGGTGACAAGATTTGCATGTTTCAAAGATTGTTCCCATCACAAAAGAATTGGGGAAAAGTAAGAGAGAAAACAAGAGTCCTGGTAAGAGATGGCAGAGGGCTGATGGGTGGTACTGTCTTGGATGTTATGTACCATAGTCATCTGCATTAGCACAAATCTTTAGCATTGATCAACTTTAAAAGGTATAATAAAATGTGCCTAACTTTTCTGTCAGAAAAGTAAATGAATAATGATGGATGAAAAAAGTCAATTTTAAAAGAAAGAAAATGCTACTGAAAGTTAAATATATAAACATTTATGTGCCGAGGAAAGCCACAAGATGAGGATTATACCTTCCGGTTATCGCAGATTTGGATTTCGTTTTCCCTTACATGATCATCTGTAAAAACTTACAAATGAAGAGAAATTGAGGATGAAGATGTAAGAAGTTGTGGGTCCTTAAGCAGTAAACTTTTTGAAGATGTCTCTCCTACTCATCCTCTCCCACCAGGCTCACATAATCATATTGTATGCTGATAAATATTTAACAACTTGCTCTGGAGGTGAAGGAGGGAAAGGAAACCAACTTGGGGGAGCCCTGGCTTGCAATGTTGCTGATTTCTATGGAGTAAGCATCCTTATCATGGTTGATTTTAAGCTATCAGCATGACGTCATTGACGCAGTTGGGAAGAGATGCGCAGAATCGCCTTTATGTTGCATTTCCCTGTGATGTGAATACATTCTAAGGTAATTGTAAAAAGTAATGAGGAAATGATAGGCTTTGAGTATTACTTTTGGTTTTAGTGCAGTTTATTTAATTGCATATTTATGTCATTTAATTTTGAATAACTGTCTTTAAAATCAGCTTGTGAAATTTCTAGAAATTTAACACTCCATTCTCACGAGTCAGTATGTTGACCTCGGGGTCTGCCAGGTACCAGTGACTGGACTGAATGAGACTCAGGACTTCCTCGGCGACTATCAGTTTTATCACTGGACTTGCAGAAGAGGTCTGTCATACCAGAATATTTACTACTAAACAGTTACTAAGCATTAACTATATGCACAAAAGTGGGTGCTTGGGGTGCAGAAAGCTACCTGTTTGAAAGTTTCCAGGTGCCAGGCACTATTCTAGATCCTCTGTCCTCTGAGGCATGCCACACTCTTTGGGTGACTAGTATTACTATCCCTGTTTTAGAAGACAAATTGGAGTACAGAGATGCTTAAGCAGCTGATAAAGCTACAATGTGAGTCCTTGCTCTAAAATTAGTATACAAAATAAAATGAAATCTCTGCCTTCCATAATCTTATAAAAACACATGTGCACATTTTGTATGCAAACATTCATCTTAATGTTCGCAGATCAAACTTTGGAATCTTGCTCTAATACTGGGAGGTTTCCCATTTTCTACTACAACTGAGCACATGAGATTACAGTCTGTTTTAATAAAATATGCCTTTATTGATAAGATAAATATTAAATTACAATGTGAAAAGCAATTATTTGACTCAGTTACCATGGAAATTAGCTCCATTTTTAAGTATCAGTGATTTGCCGTACATTTTTATAGTCACTGCCTATTTCTCTCCATGTCAAAACTTGCAGAGAATTAAATATAAAAACAGTTTGTAAGCCCATAAAAACCATAAGCTCTGCTAAATGGAAGACAAGGGAGGTAATTTGTACTGTCAAACCACCTTCTTAAACTTCAGAAGATGAATGGGGGCTAGGTAATTCAGAGTAAGAAATGTGAAAACTGTAAGAGAAAAACAGGTTTTTATCCAGTGCTTTCAATCTGTTGATCCTTTTAAAACAGTTTTTGATCCAGTGCTTGCAGTCTGTTTTGAAAGTATAAATGTGTGTCTCCAGAGTGGGGGGAAATGTGTGTCCAGTCACATCAACTCACACCAACAAGTTTTGTAAAGTCATTTCACATAAAAACGCCTTCAGACTTCTCAGAACCCTCATGAATATAATAGCTCAAATAATATTACTCAATCATCTATATGTTTAAAGACACACTTAATCAGTCTTTGGAGTACTGATTGGTTTTGGATTTCCTTCATTTTATTTTAATTTTGAGAAGTCTTAGTCCCAAGACTGAAACAACCTAATTGCTTTCACAACAAAATTTTCCCACCTTTAAGGAGGGGCTGGTGACAGAGTCTCCTCTGAGGGCCAAGTAGTTCTGCCCGTGTAGGCTACTTTTATTCTATTATTTTTAAATCTAGAGCTCACAATTTTCCTCTGCCATTACCAGGATCCCTTGGAGTTATCAAAGGGCCTGTTTTGTCCACTTTTGTAATAAAATTCTTTCCCTGGGCCCACAAATATTGGTAGGGCCTCTAATAATTTTAGCAGGGTGTTGTGCAAGAAAATATTTATTCCTTGTGATCAAAGTAGGGGGAAAATAATTTAAATCATGAGCTCAGGTTTTCTTCCCAGTTGAATTAAATCCACTTTGAAGCTGGTCTGAAGTAGCTGGTAGTTTAAGGGTTTTAAGACAGAACAGAACCCAAGGTATCACTTTGGAAAGCAGTGAGGGCACTGGCACTCCTCAGTGTCACCTCCACAAGCCCGGTTTAACTAGAAGGAGGAACAGGACAGACCTAGGTGCAGAGGGCAGGAGCTACCTCGGTACCAGAGGCCCTGGCACCCACCAACCCAGGCCTCGCCACAGACCTTGCTGGGTTCCTATGCTACCCCGGCATAAAGGAGACCTTGGTTTCCACATTTCCTAGAAAGGTTTGTCAGCGAACTCTGGCAGCATAAACCAGGTCAAATCATCCCTCTGCTTAGGACATTTTTTTCTGATAAATATAAACTGTCCACGGGGATCTGCTCCACTCCCACCTCTTCAAATGCTCCTGGCTTTATTCCCCTCTGTGCAACCACAGAAGCCTCTCTGCGGTGCGCTGGACATGCCAAGCTCTCACCTACCTACAGCAGAGCTCCACGTGGTGAACCTTCTTCCTAGAACTTTCTTCTATTATGTCCTCCTTTCATTCATCTCTTTGTCCAAATGTTAACTGCTTCAGAGTTGCCTTCCCTCATGCATCGTCCTAGTCTACTCAGGCTGCTATAACACCATAAACTTGGTGGCTTAAATTACTGGTATTTATTTCTCACAGTTCTGAAAGCTGGGGAGTTCAAGAACAAGGTGCTGGCTGGTTTCTTGTGTGATAAGGGCTGGTATCCTGGTTTGCAGGTGGCTACTGTCTGGCTTCTCATCTACATGGCACAGAGCAGAGAGAGGAAACATTCTTTGGTACCTTTCCTTAAAAAGGCACTAGTCTTTCTCTAGTGTCCCACCTCATGGCCTAATCATCATCCAGAAATCTCACTTTCAAATGCATCACACTAGCAATGAGGGATTTTGTCCTGACTATAGGGACAGTTCCTAGTATGCTTTCTGCTACATCCTCAGGGAGGGAGAGGAAGTGAGAGGGAGGGAACCCAGGCAGCTGTTAATGGGCAAGTTAGCACTGCAGACAACTGGAACTAATCCCTTCTGAGGACCCTCAGAGGCCACATTCACAAAGTGATTCCCAAGGGGGAAGTTGCCATGTTCCTGTCTGTTGCTAGTTGAGGGTTACTCCCCCTGCATCCATCACAGCACGCAAATGAGACACCCCTCTGTGGGCAGAAAATACCCTCAGGCAAGGCAATCAGAGTGGAGAGTCCTTAGCATCTCTCAGTGCTCCCAGGCCATATGGGGCAGCAGCAATGTGTGTCAGGAGACTTCACAATCCCGAGGGGTGCTGGCTCTGCAGTTCCCGATATGCTAAATACATGGATAGCTTTCCTCAAATACTACCAGTCTAGAACTCGATCAGCACCTCAGAGATCCCAGTCTCAGCCCCTACTCTGCATACTTGGATGGCATCTTTACACTTTGAGGTTAAGTCTCCTTGATCATTAAGTGGCATTTTGTTTCCAAGATGTAATATATAGAATACAGGTAGTACAGATGTTAAGATTAGGTAACAGTGGAGATGTTTTAATTTTAAGGGTTCTATATTTTTTAGATCAGCTAACTCTAATTGTTGAAAAAAATATCGTGAATTCTTAACCAGCTGTTGATTTCTCATTCAAGAACAGGCCAGTGCAAGTTGGTGGAGGAAGAGAAAATCTTCTGATCTCCAAGGTCATCCAAAAGTCAAAGTTCCTTCCTTCTACTAACTCAGAATCTGCCACTTTCAAGGACACTAGCTTCTTAACAGGTATTCAGATTTCAGGGGCCAGGTTCTAGAAATGAGTAAACCACTTATTGGGCAGAACTAATAGTTACAGGCCCCTACCTAGCCAGAAGATGTAATCCTTCTGTGTTCCCAGGAAAATAACAAATGGGATTGGTTGAATGCACACATAGAACAATACTGCCACGGAATAGATGGATGGATGGATGGATGGATGGATGGATGGATGGATGGATGGATGGATGAATACATAGATATAGATACATATGTAGATACAGATAGACACATTAAATGAAATATATAACTAATACATCACACCTGAATATAGCTTAAATCTAAGTAGGAGAATGTTGATCAAAATGATGGGTTTGAAATTAAGTCAAAGAAATACTAGGTTAATAATACTGAGAGAGTTATATAGATGTTGCAAATTATGCAGATGGGAAATGTATAGTCTCCCAGCTATATCTTATATAGAATTTGCTTACGCAAATTGTGTTTCAATAAATGTGAGACCAAGTCATGGAGAGAGAATTTGGCTCTCATTTTCCTAGAAAGTTAACCAGTTACACAATAATGCTTTTCAACAAGCACCCTAAAATTCAGCTGCTAGAAACAGTCATTTCAGCACATGTGGGCTGACTGAACAAGGGTGGTCCATGCTGACCTTGGCCCCAGAATGCAAGCTGCATCTAGGTCTCACATCCTCCTTAAAACAGCAGCTGCCGTAGGACAAAAGAAGCACAAGAAACATGCAATGTCTCTCTAGGACCCAGCCTCAGCACTGATGTACCATTGTTTCTATTCATGTTTCACCAGCTGAAACAAGTCACCTGGTGAAGTCCTCCAGGTCATCCAGAGATACAAAGGCAGTGACATATGGATAGCAATACAGACATGGATATTGACAAAGATAGATAAGAATATTCATGACAAGGCATTGAGTTACGCAATTATGGAGGCTGAGAAGTTCCATTGTCTGCCACCTGAAAACTAGAGACCTGAGGAAGCTGGTGGACTAGATGGTACAAGTCACAGCGAAGGGCAGACGAGTGCTGCAGTTGAAGCAATCAGGCAGAGACGAGGAATTCTCCTCTCCTGTCTTTTCTTTTTTTTTTTTTTTTGTCTTTTTCCTTTTTATCGGTACCGGGGATGGAACTCACGACTGCCTGCTTTCAAGGCAGGCGCTTATGCCGCTGAGCTAAACCCCCAGCCCCTCTCCTGTCTTTTCTAGCCAGGCCCTCAAAGGTTATGTGAGCTCTGCTCCCCTAGGGAAGGGCAATCTGGTTTGCCTAGGTCCACTTACTCAAGTGCTAATCAGTGGCCAGCATGGTAGGCTGTAGAAACCAGACATAACTCCTCAGTTTTCCTTCCATCTTCATCCTCTGCAATGTGCCTCTGCAACGTCCAATGTGCTCATCAGGAACTTTGAATCTGGCCCAGTTTTATGACTTGCTTTAGACCACAGAATTCAGCACAAGTGACATCCTACAAGCTCTGAGCCTCAACTCAAGAGCCTGGCATGTTCCCATTTTCCCTTAGATCTTGTCACCATTATGAGAAGAAGCCCACACTAACCTGCTGGAGAATGAACAGGGAACAGAGCCGCACTGTCCCAGCTGAGATTATCCTGGATGAAACAGTCTCCAGTCTGCATGTTACTGGACCATAGATGCATGAGTGAAACCAGCCCAGATTAGCAAAATCACCTAGCCAACTCATAAATTATTGGGAGAAATAATAAATTATTGTTTTAAGACACTAAGTTTTGGATTGTTTGTTGAGTATCAGTAGTTACTGATATGTATGGAATATATTGGCCCAGACCTGGCATGGAATAGGATGTGGTATGAGCATCCTCAAGTGTGCTTGTTGGATGGGGAGGCCTCCTGGAGCTTCCACATTTCCATCCTGAGCCCCACTTAATTGTTTCCTTCATTGGATCCTGGTATGAAAGCATGAGGAGCAGAACTGAAGCTGACTCTAAACCTCCTATCCATCCTTGACTAGCCAAAGTTAGTCAAATTACAGCTGGGCTGCAGAGAGAGAGGAATAAGGAGGAACATAATAGCCTAGAGACAATACCAGTCCTCAGTGGATCTCATGAGTGTGAAATAAAATGCTTGCTGTTATAGCACATTGGGATTTGAGTGTTATTTGATGAGCATTATAACAGCAGATACCTGAATAATTATGCAGAATATTTTCATGTGGAATTAATATACTGTAGGATGCATATTACCTTGTTTCATAAACCAGCAACATATTAGAACACATAATGTGATTTTTTACTGGTTTCACCATAATTGAATTGTTTCAGGAAATTTTATAGAATAAAAAACTCTACAGTGAATTCTTTCTGTAAACCCTAGTCCAACATCTTCAGTTATATTGATCTGTGAATTTGATCTTACATATTCATTGCTAGATTAAATTGAAACCAACATGAAGTCCAAATAAGAATGTAACAGTTCTAATCATGATTTCCCAATTCATTTATCATTCGCCAACAAATCTAAGCATTACTAACATTGTCTGGTAGATTGTCCCATTCATCTAGGTTATAAGACTACTGAAACAGATATAGATCATACATATTTAGAAGAATACGGTTTTTAATTCAAAACAGCATTTTAAAGCATGCATGAGATTATTCTATACTAGGAAATTCATAAATTATGCAGTCAAACTCCATCTTCAAAGACGCATCACAGAATTTTTTTCTCATTTCTGTCAACTATTGACATAGAGCTTGCATTAGTGCACAAATTTGAACTGCATGGCTCAGATAATTTGTAGCTACAAAGGCACCCACCCACACTCAGATCAAGGCACAGGGTCCTTTCAGTATTCTGGAGCTCTCGTGCTCCGTCTAGTCTACACTCTTGACAAAGGCACTATTCTGATCCCTCTTCTCCTTAGATTAATTGTGCCTATTCTTGAATTTCGTATAATTGGAATGATAGAGAATATATTATTCTTTTGTGTTTTTTCCCATTGAGCAGTATTTCTGTGAGAATCATCCACACTGACATGTAGCAGCCAGTCATTACTTCTTTTCCATGTTGTATGGATTTGTTAAATGTGTTGATCCATTCCAAAACTGACATAGACGTGGATTGTTCCCAGCTGTGGACTATTAGGAGTGAGTTGCTATGAATAATCTCAACCATGTCTTTTTGTCTATGTAAGCATTCATTCATTGGGTACATGGAAACTTCTTAACAGTGTTTTAATGAAATAAATTTTGTGTAACATAAGTGTCCAAAACTAGGTTGGTAAATTGTGATATATTCACATAAGAGAAATTGCTACAGTCATTGAAATTCTTCTTTTAGACAATTTTGATGACCATATGCAATATGGTTTCAGTTATGTTTCAAACTACATAAAAATGTCTAAATATACATGAGGTCAACGCTTATTTGTATGTGCACATGTTTTTAGAGTACGTGTACAGCCATCTAAACATATATGTGTACATAATAAACAGAAAAGAATTACTGTATACCAAAAGATTAAAAATGATGATCTTTAAGCAACAGAATAAGTAACATTTTAATTTTCATTTTTTAATAATTTCTCACATTTTCAACAGTAATGACACATTACTTTTATAATAAGAATACTTAATAAAATTAAAAACAGCAAATCTATCTCTGAGTAAAATCATGCATTGCATACCACATATTTACATTGCTTATTTTGGTGTATGCTATTTATTTAACTTGAACAACATAAAATCTTATCCCTCACCACATAGCTAATGAGTCAGGACTGATGTGACAAGGCCATACAGATATCTCCAACGTGGTTTGACTGCTAGTGATTAAACTTCTCACTAGTGTTACTACCCAGTTGTGCAATATCCAGGAAAAGTAACCATTCTAAAACAAGGAGGAACATAGTAGCCTAGAGAAAATACCAGTACTCCATGGATCTCAAAGAGTAGAGCCATAATCAACGCACTGTCAAGGAAATACCAAATATCATGATAGAACCAGGTTATGTTGCAGAAATGAACCTTTAAAGTGACATATAGGCTTGTCATATTTTGAAACATAATTGCTTGTCCTGTGTACTGTTCAGTTTAAATACCATCTCCTGAGTAGGTAACTGTTGTTTTATTCTACGTAATCTTTGTAACTTCAATTAAATCTATTTTATCATATTATTTGCCAGAAATGGTCATCTGAAAGTCTCAACCAAGGTAAAAACCAGCTTAGAAAGGTATCTGAAAAACAAAAAGTCTTTGGAGCATCAAATACTTCCTTTTACGATATTTCTACTCCAGGGGCCAGCAAATGATGACATATAAGGACAAATCTTGCTTCCATTCTTCTTTAATAGTCTGTGAGCTAAGAATAGTTTTATTCTTTTATTTATTTTGTTGTTGTTATTGAGACAGAGTTTCAATATTTTTCCAACCTGGACTTCAACTTACTAAGTAGCCCAGGGTGGTCTCAAACTTACTACAATCCTTTTGTCTAAACCTTCCAAAGGCTGGGATTACAGGCATACACTACTACATCAAACAAGCTTTATTTATTTTCTTTTCTTTCAAAGAGTATAACACCAAACAAAACAAAACAGAATAAAGCTAATCAGGACAGACAATGAAAGAGATACGGGACTTCAAAACAATGTAATAGGAAATTAGGAATGGTTACCATAATGTCTCTTGTTTTCTTCAAAATAGCTGTCTATACCATCAGACATAATAAAATCAAACAAAAAAATAAAACCAATCAAAACAGGACGGAATAAAACCAAACCCAACAAAAATATGAAGGCAATATGGAATTCAAAACAAGAAAAAAAATTAACAATGGTTACTACTTTCCCTTAACGTTTCCTCTCCTCACTTTCATAATACCTATTGTAGGTTTTTGGATCCCACTAACTCTTTCAGTTATTTATGCTAGAAGATGACATGTTCACACATATGAGTCCAAACCATTTCATCCATGAGCTTAATCTCAAGTTGCATCCATTTACCTACAGAGCTTTAAGATTATCCTTCTTTATAGCTGAGTAGCTTCTCATCGTATGAAAATATCATGTCTTTCTTATCCATTCCATGATTGATGGGCAAGTTATCCAGGGTTTTATTTTTTGTTTCCTGTCACATGGAACAATTCTTGACTTTTGGTCTATTAATTACTTTTCAAGTTAAATGTGTTTCTTGTATACAGCATATTGATGGATTTTGTTTCCTGATTCACTCTCCCTGTGTTTCTCTTTATTGGTGAAATGAAGCCATGTACACTAATGGTTACAACTAGCATGCATTAGCTTGTCTCTGCCGTGCTATCCTCCTGTTGTTGGCCCCCACTTTTCCTCATCATTCAGTTGTCTGCTGTTTGGCAATCCCACTCTTCTGCTGTTCCTGGAACCATGGTAATCTTTCTCTCTCTCTAGAATATCTTTCAGCACTCTCTGTGGGGTTGGTTCAGTGGTCACGAATTCCTTCAGTTGCTCTTTATCATGGAAGTATCTTATTTTTTTCCATCAGCTTTTAAAGATATTTTTGCAGGGTACATTAATCTGGGTTGGGAGTTGTTTACTTTCAGGATTTGAAACACTTCACTTCAAGCTCCTCTTGTCTTGATGGTTTGTGCTGAGAAGTTTGTCATGATTCAGATGGGGTTTCCTTTATAGGTGATCTGTTTCTTTTCTCTAACAGCCTTTCATATTCTGTTCTTGTGTTGAATTTCTGGGATTTTGATTATTGTATATCTGAGTGTAGATTGATTTTGGTTATGGCCAATTGGCATTTGATATGCCTTACTTACCTGTATGCCAGGTTCTTTTCCCATGTTTGGGAAGTTTTCTGCTATTATCTCTGTAAACAGTTTTTATGTCATTGTTGTTGACCCTTGATTTTTCAATGACACCTATCACTTTGCATTGCACAATGCATTTCTTTGCATTGTCTTACAACCACTGAATTGTTATTTCCTGGTTCCTTGTTATTTTTAAGAACTCTTTCCTTTCACATTTGCTAGCTGCAATTCTGTCTTCAAGGTCTAAAAGGCTATCCTGAGTCTATGACAAGCAGTTTTGCCAGCTTTCAATGAAGTTTTAATTTGCAGGACATCTCTTTGAATGTGTCATGCATTGTAATTCCTTCCTATATTGTTTATACAAGGATTCCATAATTTTCCTATACTTTTTTATGTCTTAAGTATGCTCAGAAATTTTTTTGTTTGTGATTTCTTCTTTTATCTGATATTGTGTTCTGATTACTTTTACAGCCCCATGAAGCTGTTTCTGTGCTTCAGTTTTTCTCCTTTCAGAGATTTCAGGTGTATGATTTCCATTTTCTTCCATGTCTATATCACCTACACTTGTTCTGAGTGGGCTGGAGATCTGAGACTACCTTTTGCTCCTTCCTCTTGACATTTTCCTGGGTTCTTCCAAAGAATCCAGTTGTGGGGTCCCAGACACTTTCTGTGTTGGCTGCCCCTCTGCAGTGTTGGGGAATGTGCCCAGCATCTAGGTTTCTCTGAACCCAGGTGAGGCAGCAGGGCATAGGGTGGGCTTCTCTAGACCCATGCAGCTACACTGAGGCTTCCCTGATGGCCAAAGGTGCTTGGTGGTCGGTCTGCTTCTTCTTTCAGCCTGTGTGGCTATACTAGGACTCCTCCAACTTGTGGCAAACACACAGAGGCATGTTTGTCTGATTCTCCCAGCCTGCCCTGGCTGTCTGCAGAAAACAAATATTCAATGTCAGCCTGATGGTGCACAAGGTGCATCTGGCTGTTTTTCCCTGCCCATGCTGGTTACGTGAGGGAAGCAAGCTTCCGGATAGTGACATATGCAAAGGGGTGGGTCTGGCTGTTTTTGTCTGTCCAAATTGGCTGCTCAGGAGGCAAGCCTTCCA